AAAAAAAAAAAAAGGAGAAGAAAATAATCTTTCCTACCCGCCTCACAGAGTTCTGATCATATTGAAATATAAAATGTCAAAAGAACTGGGCGTGGTGGCACATGACTGTAATCCAGCAGCTCAGGAAGCAGAGGCAGGAGGATCCTGAGTTCAAAGCCAGCTTCAGCAACTCAGTGAGGCCCTAAGCAACTTACTGATATTAGATAGTAGCTAGTAATAAGCAGTGAGATGCAGCCAAGGTCACAGGTGTACTTTAAATTATTTAAGGGTCTTATTTAAACTACTTCCAAACTAAACAAGAAAGCAAAGTATGGTAGTTAATTTGTAGAAAAGAAATGGAAGCAAAAGGAGCTAATCGGGAAACATGTCAAGAGAAAAGGATTAATGGAATTAACTTTTGATAGGGTCCATTGATATTGACATGAAGCTAGGAATTATGGCTAAAGGTGCCTCCATTTATCTGGAGAGGAAGATTCCTTTAGTAGCACAGGTGCATTAAGGTAACTTCTGACCAGTGATTTATCCTAGTGCCCACATTAACATGGGATTGACTTGTAGATGAAGCCCCTTTAAATAGGATGGCTACCATGACAGTTTTAGAGATGACCAACAAAGGTAAAAAACTCCTCCACCACCTGATGTGAAGGAAGGTGAAACACCTGGTTGGCAAAGAGTATAGAAGGTGGTCCCCAGTTGTCCTGGTAAACATCAAACAGTAATAAAATTGGGATGGCATTGTCTCCTTTGTCCTTCTCTGCTTGGAGATAGCCCACTCTTTACCTTGAGAGTACTTTTTGCTTAATGCTCACTTTTCTTTTACTGTATTTTCACCTCACATTCACTTCTAATAAAGTTCTCTTTAGTGATTTTTAGTGTCTGACATTAAATCTTCTTTCATCAGAACACAAGAATCGAGGTTAGGGCTGGGGATGTGGCTCAAGCGGTAGCGCGCTCGCCTGGCATGCGTGCGGCCCTGGTTCGATCCTCAGCACCACATACCAACAAAGATGTTG